CAAATACTTGGTATTTCAGACACATCCAAAGACTTAACACTCAAAAGACAGCCCATAGAAGCTCAAAATAAGACAGCTCTATAATTCTCCTAATTGTATAACCACCAAGTTCATATGAACAATGGGAAATTAATGCAATATCTAGTTGTCAGCTTCTTAATCCTCCTATGCTACCATTACTATTACTACCACCACTACAACTACCAGCATCTCCCACCTACTGAGCACTTACTATGTGCCAGGCATGTTTCTAGGAACTTTAAAATATTATGTCATTCAGTCCTACAACTTTCTGAAGTAAGCAGTTTTGTTGTCCCACACTACAGGTGAAAAAACTGAGGTCTTGGGAAGTGGGTTGCCCAAGGATACACAACTGACAAGAGCCAATATTCCATCCCAGGCAGGCAGAGGTAAATAATCTGCTCTCTTAACCACGAGGACATACAGTTTGAGTCTAAATAGTGGGACTTACTGGAACAAATCAACATTCCTGTTTTCTCCCTTCAGTTCTGGATTCAATGAATTTAAACATCTTCTTAAGAAATTACAAATTTTTTCAAGCAACAGAGAGAGAGCAGGATGGTTCCCAGATTGGACCACTCAGCACTCTATAATTCTTGATTTAAAGAAACAGGAAACTACTCAAATTTGTCATTTGTTTTAAATACGCAATCCGCACGCTCTGCTTCAAGGTTTTCTGACTGCTCCATATCCTGGGAATGGTTTAAGGCACACACAGGAAGCCACTGACTTCTGCTCAGCTGCTGCGGTGTCACGAGTACGTTCGCCAGACAATCCTGATGAAAGGGGCAAGAGAAACTGCTTTGCACGGACTCCTCAAACGGTCTTTGCTTGTAGGAATCAAAGGCAGACACCTTCTTTTCCCTCTCCTCCAAGTGATCTATATGCAGAAAATGAACTCATTTTTCTGTGTTTGTTGAGTTCAGGTCCTCACGTTCCTCCTGGTGAACACATCTAACAAGTTCATGTTTGCCATATGAATAATAAATTTAAATAATAAATATGAATGAAACTGGAGTTAATCTTTTCTTTTTCATCTTTTTTTCTGGCTAAATAACCAGGTGCACCCCCACACCAGAATCAGCGATGCGAAACCCTCCAACAGCCACTACTCATGCTGAATGGGGCCTGTCTGCAGGGTGTGGCAATGGCCTTTCGAGGCGTTTGTAGAGAGACAGGAGCTCCCCGTTGACTCAGAGACAGACGGTTCACTGTTCACTCCATCCACATGCTCAACGATCTTCCAATTTCTTCCGTTTCTTGCAGCCTTGTTACTACTGATTTTGCAAAGTTGCCCCAGACACACGTTTCTTTTATTTTTGCAGCATTTCCTGTCACGATCCTCAACATGGGTTATTCCCTTCCTCCTCCTGCTCAGGAAATACCCCATGCACTATTGATTCTTTCAAAATATTTGATTCTATCAAGCTTCTATTCAATAGGGAAGCTTTCCTTTTGCATGCACTCGGCATTGTTGAATCAAGATGCTTAAACATTCACTGGCTGTTGAATGAGTGTGTTTATAGATAGAAAAATTCACGAGTGCAAAAGAATAGCAAAACACAATCTCGCAGGATAACGTGCAGGGAGCCAGAATAGCGGGCAGATGTCTGAGGCGTGTGCTCTGTGTGCCCTTGTGTATTCGTGCCCAGCTCCGGTCAGCTGTTACAGTTTCAGGCGTTCAGCTGGTGTTTCTGGCTGAGTTCATTACTCATAAGCAAGTGCAAAATTTGAGTTACACTCAGATTGTTCCTTAATAATATTTCAGTTGCACTAGAATGACACTTGCTTTCAAAACCAGCATTACAGCATAATTGACTGCATAGCTCTCAAGTGCCCAGGAAAATATTATTAATTAGCATATGTAATAATGCAGTATTACCATTGTGGAGCTTTGCATTTTAGTGAGATTCAAATGTTGACACTAAGCCCAGTCTCAAATTATGGATCTATTTTAAATAGCCCCAAATACATCTTCTGTGCAAATAAACTTAAGCTACTTAAAACTGACTTCAAGTCAGTTGTTGCATGCTAAGTTTTTAAATACATGCTACATTTTAAAACAGTCTAAAGTCTTAAAAATTAAAATGCAAACAAGCTTGTTTTTAGAACTTCTATCAAAGACCAAAAACAAGCAAACAAGCCCCCAAACATTACAGGTGTCGCTAGCGTGGCACATTACACAATAATGTGTCTACATCCTTCTGTTTGTATGAATGCGAAGGAAGACATACGAAATGATCTTCCCTAATGTTAAAGTGGTTATTTCTGGGTTGTGGGATACTACTTTTACTTTTTTCTTTGTGTACCTCTCTATTGTTTGCATTCTTCATAATAATTTTCTGCAACAGTAAGGCGATTTTACACTAATTTGAAAATTTCTAAGTACAGAAATTTCAAAGCACGTAATAAAAACCCACGAACCCAACAACTAGAGTTAAACAACATCTGTCAAATTTTTGGATCTTTTTGGTAATTAAAAAAATTCCACAAAACCTGAAAATCACCACGGATTGCTCTCTTGGTCCATTCCCCATCTACCCACTCTCTCTCTACGTAATTGTGTTCATCATTCCAGGCCATCCAGAATAACTTTTTAAAATTGCAATTTAAAAATGAAATGCAAGATTAAAAATGTGTCTTATACTGTGGGGTTGTTTTATTCAGATTCACACAAATTCTTTTTCTGATAAGAATTTTAAACATATGCTAAAACAGAGAAAATAGTATATAATAAATTCCCATATACCCATTACCCAGATTTAACAATTATCAAGACTTGGCCACATACAATTTTTTAAATTCAAGGCAGTAATGAAAACCTACTGTTCATCCTACATTTTGCTCAGTTAGTCAGCAAACACTAAGAAGAGAGGGAGAATCAAGGTGAGCTGTGCTCCTACGGTGTGCCAGTCACTAGCTCTTCTGCATACAGACTCGTCTGAGGCAGCGGTGGTGGGGGCGGGGAGGGTGGTCACAAGTCTGCAACCTAAACAGTATCATCAGCGTCGTTCAGAGTGGACGATGAGGCTCGGAGGGAAGCAGATTCTTCCAAAGACTTAGCTAGTTGCTTGTCTTTCCGGAATTCAAATCCTCCTCCCCACCCCCACCCAATTTCAGAGTGTGTGTGAGTCACTGGAGGTTATGAATCTGTTGAAGAACAGACAGTAAAGAAGGTCTCACTCTGGATCTGCGTGAATGGACACCTGCATTCTCTCTTTTGGAGGACCATCCAGCATTGTGACAGGAACTTTAAGTCAGCAACTTTTGGTTATTTATTCAGTAGAGAAAATACCTGTTGTAACTTTCACCATAAGACATTCTTCCTGTAACTACTTCGATAAAAGAGAAACCTTTACCCTTTCCCTTTCAAAAGACTGAAGTAATGATTTAATATACTCTCGTAAATTCTTAGTCTCTGTAGCTCATCATCTCTGCTGACCAATAGCCATGAGTACAAAAAATGATTTCAACTGCAATTTCCAGGCCTGCAAATCTATGATGGATATTTTTCAAAGCAGTTTTGAAACTTCTTGCCTGCCGTGTTGCCCCGTGCTGTTACGCTCATATACTAGACAGCAAATGCTTCGTTACTATTCTTGATCTCTCCTGGAAACTGTTTCAAAATAAACAGAGATGAAGGCTCTAGTGTGTTAACCCATTAGTCCGTCTTGTGGTAAGAAGCATGGGGTTTTGGTTTCCCATGACACACCTTTATTTAATAGCATGGAATGTCACCATTTAGAATCATGGGATGCATAATAATTCAGCTATTTTCGAGAGACTGATGAGCCGTAAACTCAACTATCAGATGTCTCCCCGTTGATAGGTTTAAAATTTTAGGACAGATAATGTCTTACTCTGGGTTTCAGTTTATATTTGTATTACAAATTCTTCAAAACACAGTCTCTCCGGGAAGGACAGAGCCTTAAAGATCACCTGCGATCAGCCAGACCTCTTCATTTTGCAGACACAGAAAGAGGTCCAGTTTTCGTTCTATTTTGTTTGTTGTGTACCACAAGGAGCAATGCCAGGTTACTGTACTGGTCACACCAGGGATAGGTCTATCCAGCAGTCCCTGGTATGAAAAATAACAGAAAAGAAAATAGCCACCACACCTTAGTATGGACCGAGAGCAAAAGTTTTTTAAGGCCGTCATAAAGGTCAATTACAATCAATGTGCAAGCTTGCACACTCAAAATACCTAACTACCAGAGTTAGAGTACAAGGTCTCGGGGAGGAAGACCGTCACTTCACTAGACGTGCAGGAAATCAAATTAGGCTCAAAAGTGGGCTTCGGATTCTTCTTTACCATTTATTATTTATATACAGATGGGTTTCACTTTTTGCAAATGCCTCCTGGCTAAAATAATTTTTTGCCAGGGCCCTAATTACTGTTATTTTGATTCTGTGCCCTTTAATTTTTTTTTATACTTTTGTAAGCGAGCCTGGTGATGAGGTAATTTAGTGGTTTTCAAATTCTTTGCTCGTTTCCCGACCTCTATTTTTCTCCTTTATCCTTTTTTTTTTGGCAGGGGGATACCCAAGTGGAGAAAACAGCCCAGTGCGACCTTTGATGAGGCTGCTTTCCAGGGTTCCCCAACTCCGCGTGAGAACACCGACCCTAGTCGGGCCCCTTGCGGGCGGGGGAAACTCCCGGGCGCCGGGCGAACCCCGGGGGAACCTCAGGCTGTCAGGGCCCCCCGGACCGGCTCTGCCCCCTCGAACACCCGGCCCCTGTCTTCGGGTTCCAGGGCGCCCGGGGCAGGAGTGGGGCCAACAGAGGGCCTGGGGGAAGGTGCGCTGCCCGGCCGACGGCTCGAGTCCCCAGGGCGCCCACGCAGGTCGCCGGGGGCCCCCGCGCTGTTCCGGGCGGGCGGCGAGGGACGGGAGCTCCGGGGTCCCAGGCGCCCCGAGGCCCGAGGGTGCGCACGGCCCCGGGAGGGCGGCGGCCGAGGCGCCCCGGCCGCCCTGCTTACCTGTCCTTCCGCGCCCCGCGCAGGTTCCCCAGCTGCGCGCGCTGGGCCCGCCCGGCGGTGGCCGAGCCCCGGCTCCGGTCTGCGCTCTCCGCGCCACCCCCGCGCCCGGCGCCCCGCGGCCGCCACCGGCTCCCGAGCGGCTCGGCGGCGCGGGCGGGGACCGGGCCGGGCGCGCGCCCCGGGGCGCACGGGGAGGGCGGGGGCGGCGCGGCCGCCCGGCTGCTGCTGCCCGTAGCCTGGCGGCCGCCGCGCACCCAACTTTGCAGAAACCCGGCCGCGAGGCGCACGCTGCGCACGGCGGTGCAAAAACCCAGCGCCCGCATCACCCCAGGCGGGGAGCGACCAAGTTAACTCCTGGAGAGAAAAGCAGCGGATGCCTTTTCTCTCCTTCGCCCGCCGCCACCCCGCACACCCCGTAAACAAAACGAGCACAGAAATGAGCAGAGGAGGGACGGGAATATTTGGGCGTATAGGACAGAGAAAGGCTTCATTCAAATCAGTAGGCACGTCAAAAAAGCAAATGGATAAAAATCATAGAAGGAAAAAATTTAAATGCAAATGATCAAAAAAGAATTCAAATCAGTGATAAGCCGAATGGTTACAATTTAAGGCAAAAATCAAATGCATTTTAAATGCATTTTTTCTTCCTATGAAATCAGTGAAGTTTTGTTTTGGTCATCAAACCACGCGGTGGTTGGTACCAGAGAAACGCACGACTCACTCAAGGATTTCCATCTCCTCCCTTGCTCGGCATCCTCACCTCCATTCTGTATAATCATGGTGGGGACAATGATTCCAGAAACAGAAATTTATTCAGTGACCAGTATCTCACTTGGTCCCCAAACTAACCACAGAAGTAACTCATATAAATGGTAAATTAACCTCTTTTACTGATGCTGGAACCGAGGGTCAAAAAATACCCGTATTCCTACAGGTGGCTGGAAACCACTTGACTCCCACGCATTTGCTCTTACTCTTCATTCTAGGAATTTATTCAGAGATATTGGAAATACGGTTTGGACTGGATTTTTGAACTGGTCCATGATATTTACATATGGTGTATTTCATATATACTTCAAGTATGAAATATGGCCAGGAAAGAGAGGTCGTGAGCTTTGATGTCAGATGTGCTCTGGGTTTAAGTTTTACTTCTTATTTAGTGTTGTACATGACAATTTTTAAAGGGTTATATTCATGGCTTTATTTAATTTAAAAACTCAGAAGCGACAAAGGTATATTTGTGTGACACAAAGACTCTAAAGTGACCCCTCGATTCCCACCACCTCCTGGCATTCACACCTTGGCGGACCCCCCTTTCCTTGAGGGCAATGGAATCTGTAATGTTTGCAGACAATCAATAGAGCATCAGCGATACATGCCACTCCTGTGCCTACACTGCATCACAGAGGATTTCTCTTGCTGGTGGACTGTCCTTTCTGGCTTGATGAAGGAAGGGACCATGTTGGCGAAGTCCGTGGGGCAAGGAGGTAGGAAGCCTCTAGGAGCTGAAGGCAGCCTCCAGCCAATGGCCAGCAAGATGCCGAGACCCTCAGGCCTACAAACACGAGGAAATGAATTCTCTCAACCATTGAAGTGACCTTGGAAATGGATTCTTCCCCAGTCCAATCTCCAGATGAGACTGCAGGCCAGAGGACACCTTCACGGCAGCCTTGTGAAACCCTAACCAGAGGATCCAGTTAAGTTGTGCCTGGACTCCTGACCCACCAAAATTGTTAAGATAATAAATATATGTATGATTGGTAACTCACAGCTCATACGTATTGTTTAGATCGGCGGCATGTTAGTACATGCAGTGTAGTCTCTCTGTCATCAAATTTTGTGTTAAATATTGCTGCTCTGTTGCATTCTGACTTTTCTCTTTCTTACTACTTTGCATGCATGTTCCTTCCTTGATCTTCATTTCACTTTCATGAGACAAATACTCTAGTGAAATGGTGCCCCACAGATTAACCAGAGGTCTAGGGCCCCCTGGGACTTCCGGCTGCATTTCCACTTCAAAGATTGTGTGTCTGAGACCCACAGCCCTTATCCCCATGGATCCTTTGGGATATTCTCTTGATTAAACCTGTTTGGATGGAGAGAAACCCCATCCACTCAGCTTGGGCAACTCAAGTTGCTCCTGCAATGTGATGAATACTTGTGGTAAAGAACTAGGAGTAGGTGAAGTGCTAACAGGTCTCATTTCATCCACTTATCTTGGGAAAGCTTTAATTTGTGGCTTCTAGGGCCTTTCATTTTCTTTTCCCTTGACATCAACTTTCTCCTCTAGCCTCAACTCTTGGAGGTTTATATATTTGCTTCCAGATAGGAAGCCAGCCTAGCTTATTCACCAACCCCTCCTTCCTTTCTTCCTTTTTCCCTCCCTCCCTCCTTCCTTCCTTCTTCCATACTGCTTCCATTTTTTAAACCACTGTATAATTCTCCACAATTCCCTGCCTCTGTATCCCTCGTTTTCTTTTTATTATTACAAATCCTTCATTATACAGGTAATACATTAATATAATGTCATATGCCAGTGTATATTGTGTGACATCAAACTACATTTGTTAGCTCTCTTTTATGGACAACAAAAATCACTTGGAGCTTGTTTGTCTTTTCATATATATAGTCATTCTTTTAAACTGCTGCATAGTACGATCATATTATGTGTGTGTCTGGTTTCCTTCAGTTTGCGTAATGTTTTTGAGGTTAGTCCATGTTGTAGCCACCAGTTGCCACCATTAGTTAATCTATTCACCAGTTGATAAACATTGAGGTTATTTCTACCTTTTGACTTGTGTGAATAGAGCTCCTCTGAACATGTGCGTGTGCTCTTTTGTTTGTATATCTGTTTTCAGTTCCTTTGGGCATATACCTAGGAGAGGAATTGCCAGGTCGTATGGTAATTCTATGTTTAACTTTTTGAGGAAATGCCAAATTTTCAACAGCAGCTGTAGCATTTTACATTCCCATCAGCAAGTGTGAGGATTCGTATTCCTCCACATGCTTGACAATACTGGTTATTTCCTTAAAAAAAGAAAATTTCTAGTAGGTATGAAGTGGTATCTTGTTGTTTTGATTTTCATTTCCTAATGACTAATGATGGTGAACATCTTTTCATGTGTTTGCTGGCCATTTGTATACTTTCTATGGAGAAATGTCTATTCAAGTCCTTTACTTATTTTAAATTGGGCTTTTTATTGTTGTTGAGTTGTAAGAGTTCTTTATATATTCCAGATCCGGGATGACCCCTATCAGAGACATGATTTTCAAATATTTTCTCCCTTCCTATGGGTTGTTTTTCACTATTTTAATAGTCCTTTGGTATACCAAATTTTTTAGTTTTGATAAAGTCTACTCTTTCTTTTGTTGCTTATGCTTTTGGGGTCATTTCTAAGATCCATTGCTAAATCCAAGGTCATGAAGATTGACCACTATGTTTTCTTAGAGTGCTATGGTTTCAACTCTTTTATTTAGGCTGTTGAACCATTTTGAGTAAATTTTTGTATATGATGTCAGGTAGGGGTCCAACTTCATTCTTTTGTTTGTAGATATCCAGCTGTCCCTGTAGTATTTGTGGAAGAGTGTATTCTTTTCCCATTGAGTGGTCTTGGCCGCTTTCTAAAATGAATTGGCCATAGATGTGGTTTTATTTCTAGATGGCCAGTTCTATTCCATTGGTCTTTAGGTTAGTACCACCCACTATTTTGATTACTAATGTGATTCTTTGGGGGTAAGTGTTGAAGTCAGACAGGGTGGGTCTTCCAACTTTGTCTTTCCTTTTTCAAGATCATTTTGGCAATTTGGGCTCCCTTGGAATTCCATATAAATTTTGTGATCATTTCTTCCATTTTGGCAAAAAGGTCATTGGGATTTTGATTGAGATTACAGTGAATCTCTACATAGTGAATCTCTACATCTCCTTGGGTAGTATTGCCATCTTAATGACATCAAGTCTTCTGAATCATGAACATAGGGTATCTTTCATTTATTTCGATCTTTAAAATTTTCAGCAATGTGTTATAGTTTTCAAGGTACATATTTTGTCCTTCCTTGGTTAAATTTCATCCTGACTCTTTTGCTCTAACTCTACATCTGTCCTTTGTCCCTTTTACTCTTTTTTTGGTCTTAGACCCTCAACACTTGCCCCAGCATGACCAGGAAGACCCTCATCTTCTCCATTGCTGTCTGAAACAAGTGTTGTGTGCTGTGTCTGGGTTCTTCTTTAGTTTTTTTTTTTTTTTAATTTTTCCCCAAAGCTTTGCATCATCTTATCTGAACATACTCCTCCAGTCCATTTCCTGAGAGAGTCAAGGTCACCCTGCCTTTCAGTGAAGGGCGCCTCTGTGGAAGACGTCTGCACCTTTGCCCTCCGGGAGCCCCTAGTCTCTGTTTAACAGCAGAATACCTGCTTGGGCTAGATTGGGGAACCTCTGAGACATTCAGGGTTCTTAGGAGTTCAGTGAACCCTGAGATCCAGAGAGCCTCTGCTTAGTTTAGAATGTCACGCTTCTGAACATCCATCTGAGATATTTTCTGAAAGATGAACCACAAACTTCCGTATGTTCCAGGGAGGCCCAGGAAATTTTCAAAGTTTCATTACTCACCCCAAGATATATTCTTATATAGTGCAAGAGGCAAACAAAATATTTAGGTTGGGAAGGAATATTGAATTTTTTTGAAACAGTAATACTTAAATTTTTAGATAATCAAAACTCTGCCATTATTATTTTTATATAAATTCTGTTCTGAGCAAGACCTAAATTCAAGAAATCAAGTATGTAGCTAAACAAGTTATTTTTCAAATAGTAAATAAAACTAATCGATATAAGAATTACAGTTAAATCAAGACAGTATCATTATGGATTGATTAAAGAAAGATAAGCAGTGATCTGTGAACAAATGAGCAAGAACTGACTGTGAAATATTCCTAGTCCACCTGATCAAATAAAAATCCAATTTACTCAATTATATCTCAATAAAAAATAAAAAAATTTATAAAGTGAATAAAAATGAAGAAAATACAATAGTCAATATACGGAGTAGACTACAAATGAATAAACAATATAAAAGAAATGTATTTAAATGTTCATTTACCAAATGAAACAATTCAAATATATTAAAGTGCACAATTAAACTC